GCCGGAGCCCAGCAGGTCGAGGCTGCGGTGGCCGGGAGTGGCCACTGCACTCCAGTCTGGGCGACAGTGAGACTCCAACTCATAAAAATAAAAATAAAATTAAAAAATCGGTGTGGCAATAGGCTGCCTGCTCAGATTCCAAAGCCCCTGACAAGCAGCCACAGGCTTGGTGGGTGTTGCTCATCCTGTACACATGCCCTGGACCTCTTTTTTGCCTGTTTTCTGTTTCTGTTCCTCCCTTGCTCCTTGAGCTGGTAAGGACACCAAACCACTGCCTCTGGGGCCTGGGTGATGCCAAGCCAGCTGTCTGTGACTTACTGGTGTTCTAAATGCCTCTGTTGGCTCCCTGACCCCTGTAGGGGTCTCAGCTTCACTACACATAGTTCAGCATAAATTCTGGGCAGGGATTGGGGCCAGGGGTATCATCATTAGATAAGTGTGGGTACTTAGAACGACAGGCACCTAAGAAGGGTTTACATCTTTAGCGGTCAGGGTGGGTTGACAGACAAATAGGGAAGGTATTTCTTTTTTTTTTTGAGTTGGAGTCTCACTCTGTCGCCTAGACTGATTTATTTTGATTTATTGTAGAGATGAGGTTTCGCCTGCCCAGGCGGGTCTCGAACCCGCGAGCTCAGGCAATCCACTCACCTCAGCCTCCCAAAGGCGCGGGATTACAGGCTGAGCCACCGAGCCCGGCTAGGGAAGGTATTTCTAGTGGAGGAACCAGCATGTGCAAAGGGGAGAACTTGGTAAAGAACCTGGTATAACTGGTTTGCAATGAAGCTAGAAGAGTCTACAAGGCTTGGGGCTCTCAAACTCCAGGTAAAAAGTCTGGCAGTGAAGAGCTGTTGATGTTTTAAGGCTATAGTGTGATGTGGTCATACTGCAGTTAGAGAAACACCCCCTGCCACTAAGGTGATCTTGGGGTTGGAGAGAGATGCTGGGCTTAGTTCTCTGGAACAGTATTCAGGGGAGACTAAGAGCCCCAAAAGGCCAAAGTGGCCAGCAATCCTTCAAGGTGATAGACACCAGGGTAGTTGGGCAGATCCTAAGCCAGCTATGGACCAAGCCTGGTGAAGTTACCTTGGGGGAGCACTTGTAGTTGGTACTGCAGAGCCCTATTAGCTGGCCTCCCCCACACACCTTGCCTGTCCCCTTCTACAGAGCCGGTAGTTGGGGAGAGATGAAAGGGTGTTCTGTAGACCCTTGCTGTTGAGGACCAAGGCTGCTGGAAGGGGGACTTTAGTCTCGGGGTAACCATCAGTATGGCCATAAGATGGCAGCAGAGGGCCAACTTATAGTCGTGTACCCCGCCCACCCCTCCCAAAATGGGTAGGCAGGGCGATCTAGGAGTCTCCTCCCAACTCCCAGAAATTTCTCTTGAGTGTTCGAAGGCGGGGGTCACGAGAAACAAATTCTGCACCTGACGGAGAACATTTCATTTCTAGTTTGCCCTGCATGACTATCTTTAGAAGTGTTAACCAGGGGAAGGCAAGAACCATGCCATAGTTTTCCCTTGTGTTTATTCATTTCCGGGCCAATTCTGGCTCCAGATGGGAGCACCTTTTAAGTTGCCTCAGGACACAGTATCCTCCCGCACTGGGTGTGGCTGCCCCATGTTCCATTTCCTCTCAGTCATCAGGTGCTCATGGAGCTCCAGCCTGGAAAGAGGGGAAGTCCTGCACAGGGGTTGGAGGAAGAGGGGAGTGTACAGAGTGAACTGTGCTGGGGTGGATGTAGTATAGGGTCTGTGGGACCCAGGAGAGGGGCCTGGCACAGTCTGGGGTATGAAGGCTTCCTGGAGGAGGTGCCATGTAGGTAGAGAGAGGAGAAAGGGAAAGGGTACTCCTGTAAGGAGGAACAGCACTAACAAAGGTCAGATTAGGAAAGGGATGCAGGAATAGAATTATGGAATGGGTGGGGGAGTGGAGGAGACAAAGTTCCAGGGGCCAGGCTAAATACTGTTGGGCTGAGGGCTTCTCTCTCCCCCAGCCCACTTATCTTCTGCAAGCTTGGGCCCATAATTCACAACCCAGGGCAACCCTGTGAACCTTCCAAGGTCCAGGACAACCTGGCTGAGAGGATTGTCAGGCTAAGATTGTCCCACAGGGCCCTCCTCCAGTGTTGGGGGGGACTAGTTGCCAAGGGGCAGCTGCTGAGTCTAGTTAGGAACTAGGCTCCACCTACCCATACACAGACTGGATGGAGGATGATGGGTGACCACCTACTCAGGTTACATTCTCATGGTAGATAGTGAGGTCCAGCAAGGCTTCAGATAGGTTGGAGCCAAAGCCTATGATTCCCCATATCAGGGGGAAACTGGGGCAGAGCCAGCAAGGAAGTTGGGGGTCCTTCCCCAGGCCAGGATTGTGGGTTTTATCCCCATCATATAGCTTCCACATACTGAGGCTGCAGAGGAGGCGCCATGGGTCTGTGGGACCCAGGAGAGGGGCCTGGCACAGAAGCCTTACAGGAGTACCCTTTCCCTTTCTCCTCTCTCCACCTACATAGGCACCTCCTCCAGGAAGCCTTCATACCCCAGGGTTGGGCCTCCACGTAAGCTGCCCCTTCTGACGTCCAGCCAGCAAGGCCAGGTCTATCCTAAAACCTTTATGACCCTGGGTGGGCAGAGTACAACACACTTTTCTCTGACACCATCTTGTCACTGACAACTCAGGATAGGTGCATGGAAGAATGGTCCCTGCCCACAAAGGATGGCGCCCCATACCATCTTATGTTGGATTCCCCACATCTTCTCTGTGGTATTCCATACATTCCTGGTCTCTGTTCCCCACAAAGCGGGCCTTCCAGGCCCCTCTGGGCACCAGTGTTTTGAGAGTGTTGCTGTAAGTATATACTAGCTCCACCGGAAGAAAAAAGCCAGGTGGGCCAGGTGTGGTGGCTCAAGCCTGTAATCCCAGCACTCTGGGAAGCCGAGGGGAGAGGATTGCCTAAGCTCAGGGGTTCGAGACCAGCCTGGGCAACTTGGTGAGACCCCGTTTCTACAATAAGTTAAAAAATAAGCTGGTCGTGACAGCACGCGCCTGTAGTTCCAGCTACTTGGAAGGCTGAGGTGGAAGGGTCTCCTGAGTCCAGCAGGTGGAGGATGCGGTGGCCGTGAGCGTGCCATTACACTCCAGCCTGGGCGACAGAGTGAGACTCCAACTGGAAAAAAAAAAGAGCCAAGTGTCCTGCCCCCTACCCACCTCGACCCAGTTGGTTGTGTGGGAGACAGGAGGGGATGGCTCAAACATGCTTACTCTCTCCAGTCCACTCTGCACACCCACCCACAACCACTGAAAAAAAGGCGCCAAGGGAAGGTGTAGGAGCCAGGCTTCCAAGGGCCGGAAGAATCAGAAGAATGGGATGGGCTGAGGGCCTGGGCTCCGGCAGGCCTTGCAC